GGCGACGCGGCGACTACACCGCAAAAATAGAGGAGTGGATGCATCTCCAGAAGAGAATGCGGATCTACGAGCTCGGATCCCTCCCGCCGTTTCTTTTGGTGTTCGCCGGGAAAATCGCGCCTGTGGAGCACCGGTGGAACCAGCACGGGCTCGGCGGCGATAACTTCAGAGGGCTGTGTAGGGATCTGCATCCGGGCGCAGTGAGCCTGCTGCATTGGAGCGGGAAGGGGAAGCCGTGGGCCCGGCTGGAGGCCAATCGGCCCTGCCCGCTCGATGCTCTCTGGGCTCCTTACGATCTCTTGGAAACGCCATTCGTTCTGGATTCGTGAGGCGGACAACGGTGCCGTCTTGTGGAAGATGCAGAGTCACAGACTGAGACCCTGAATTTCGCGTCGTGGTTTTGGGGGATGAGCGAGCTCTCAGAGATGATCAGTCTTTTGGAATTTGTTTGTACATTATGCTACTACTACAGGTATTATTTCAGGAACATGAAAAAAATTACTAGCTGATGAAATACTGAAACTATCTGGGGAGAAAATTAATTAACTCAGAAAATAAAAAATAAATAAAAAAGAAGAAGAAGAAATAAATGGAACAACGTTCATGAATTTCTGTCACCAATATTATGCGTTGAAATGCATATAATTGTATAATACAGGCGTCTGTAATTTTCATGCACAGCAAAAGAGCTGTTGTTGGTCGCTTAATTAAATCATGGTAATTTTGATTTCAATTTGTTGATCAATGTCAATAAAATCTCCTTAATATGTTTTCAACATTATTTTTAACTGCATGTGCTAATAGGTTACGCTCGACAAGATCCCTTTCTGTATTCTAAGTTCGAATTTCTCTTCTCGCTCGGTTAATTGTGTTTGATAACCACGTTCAATTATAATTGATTTAGAAAGATTGTGCAGTTTCCCGAGTGTCCAACGAGTCATGGTCAGTGACATAAGTATTATTGAACCATTTTCAAACTACATTAAATACAGCTGTCGTTCAAGTCTTTTCTTCTTGTTTTGTGTCTTTGAAAAGAACAAATTATCTCAAATAATTCAACGCCAACGTCGCTCATATGGAATTTTGGAACTTTGATTATTGTACTACTGTCAATTCACAATACCATCGCAAGTTGGACCTTTCGTTATTGCAGGAAAGACACGAATTAAATCGCTACTTGTTTATTTTTCGTCTTTAAATTACAGTTTGATGTATATATAATATAACGCTTAAAATTTTTAAAATAAAAACTTACACGTATCAAGCTGTAATTATAATGTCGATATCATTCAAAGCCAACCTGTACGATCTTTATTCGAAACCCTTTTCATTTTAACTAAATTAGAAAGCAAACTCTGGTTAAATCATTTTTATTCATTTAAAAGTCAAAAAAATAAATATATGTGATATTTAGCTGAAGAAATGAAGTGTCGGTGGAAGCGGGAAAAGGACAAGGAAAGAGGGTGGCAAGACAGCAGGTCGTAATAAAAAAAGGAACACGCGGCAAACTTTTTAGGCCAAAAAATCAGTACAGGAAACGAGTCGGACAAGCCAGGGGGTACCGTGGTACGCCCTGGGGCTGGGGTCCTACGTACCTTCAGGTTAGGTTTTAGAATTCACGACGCCAGGGAGCAGTTCGGACACAGAAACAGAACAGAGATCCTTACGGTAAGCTGTCTGCTTTTGGAAATTTTTTCTTTTTTTAGTACGTCGGTTTTTTTTTTATATTAAAAGGAGAAGAAGTTCGTTTAAATCACATAATAGACAATTTTTATTTTTGGATTTGAAAACGTATTTATTATCAATTAATTAATAGGAATAATTAGGAATATAAGTGGCTTCAGTCTTAATAACGTGCAGGTAGGTGGTTGCTTAATTAATTACTGATTCTGCAATCAAATATTCCAGGCTGATTTCTTCCATTTAAAGTAACCAATTAATGTATGAGACATGAAGCATGATTTAATACGTCCATGATGGGTAATTATACTTAATTACTATATCATCACAACAACCCTGGATTTAGAAATATATTACTTGGTGTATGATGTATTTGTTTTAATAAAAAATAGTTACTATTGACATTCAAAATTCTTAAAATACATGCGTTGAGAGTATAAGTCTCACAACGGGAAAAAATGACTTTATATGGAGTTAGACTACTCTCAGTTATATTGGCAATTATTTTTGGATGGTGCTCCGTACACACTCATTTTTTACATACATTTCCCTCATTTTGGTCGTCGAATCAAATAAATTAAAGAATATCAATGACAAATTAACAAAGGTATGTAAGAGGTAAAAATAGCAATGTGAATATCACTATCCTTAATTTTATGATAAAACATCAATTTTTTAAGCGTGTTAAAAAAAGAAGAGAAGAAGATGAGTGAATATTCTCTCAAAAGCTCACACGCAGGTGGCTCTGAAACCACTTTTTTACTACTTGAAATGATGTTTGAATTGAAGTCTGCGGTGATGCACGGCGGAAGAAGCGGTGATCAACGGCGGTACATAAGTTTATAATGATGTTTCAGTAAATAACTACAGTGACGTTTCATATAACTTTTGCCTGCCACGACCCCATGAATATACTACAACGTAGATGGCTTTGTTCCTTTGATCCAAAAAAAAAAAAAAAGAAGATGGCTTTGTTCCAAGTCACAATCAACAAAAAAAAGTGCCACGACCTCATGAATTTACTACAACGTAGATGGTTTTGTTCCTTTGATCCAAAAAAAACAAAAGAAGATGGCTTTGTTTTAAGTCACAATCAACAAAAAAAGTGCCAAGCATTTTCTTTGCATGTGATAATATCTAAATGAATATAGTTTACGAAAAGGAAGATTCGACTTTAAGTGCAATAGGCGAGAATATTGCTTTATTAACTGCATTTGTAAATTATCACCAACTAACTTAATTCACATATGTGAAATCCGTATGAAAACCTTGAGCTGTTCCGAAACGTTGTTTGTGCTAGGGTTTCCGTGGCTGAGCTGAGACCGCTGGAAAACTTATGTGTTTCTTCACATGGAGGTGTTCCCATATTTGTACGCAGAGAGGAGTGGACTAATGTTGGACGTGGCATATTCTTTTTGCCTCTCAATTTTGGAGGTGCCTCTAAGTCTACGTTTTAAAGATGACGCATACCCCTAAACAAATTTAAAAGATCCGACGTGACTTTCTCTTCTATATTTTGGGAGTAGAAGGTTGGCTTGTACTTGTTAACTGTATGTCAATAGTTTCTGATTATCTTAATTAATCAAGAAACTTAGGGATTGTAATGTCATGCTAAAATCACCGACGACCTATTCATGGGGTCGTTGAAAACTACAGTCTCCTAATCAGAGTTCAATTCCCTTTAACAATTTCACTTCAATTATTATGAGTACGATTACGAATAAAAAATAAATTATATAATTTGTTCAATGATGAAGTCTTATTATAAAGTTCAACTGGCTTAATTCTCTATTGCTCATACTTTAGTTTATTCTTGGTGTATTGTTTCTATCAATGATATCACATCGTTTCTTTTCAAAAGGATAATTATTAAGTTTTTAAAGTCCACATGAAGGCTCAATTCCAAAGGTCCCATTGTGTCTGCCGGACCAGGATCCTCGCCGGATCCATTCCCTAGGGATCCTAGGGATCCCGCAATCCTATCCGTTCATTGTGTATCGTGCGGTCAGTTTTCGTTAGTTACTATTTACTTTTGAATTTTAAAATTTAAAATTTAAATGATTTCTGACCGCACGATATACGATGAACGGATTGGATTGTGGGATCCCTAGGATCCCTAGGGAATGGATCCGGCGAGGATCCTGGTCCGTGTCTGCCAAATATAATCTGCTGAAAGTATTAAAAAAGGACATGATTTCTTTGTCCTCCCAGTTCCTAGACATTTTCATTTTTTCTTATTTGTGCGGTCAAGGTTAAGCCACATCAACATTTTATATCACTATTATGTTTTGTCTTATTATCTCTGTAAAAAAATTAATATAAAATATTGACATGACTTAACGTGATCTTACAAAATAAGAAAGAATGTTAATGTATGGGAACTGGAGGGTAGAGAAGTCAGATCCATTAAAAAATGAGAAGATATTGGAGAACACAAATATAATTACTTTCACATGGAAGTATGGAACTCCCATGTGTGCTGCGATCCCAATAGTTTTAGAATTTCCTACTTACTTTGCCAGCAGCAGTACTTAGTTCCCACATCGGGAGTACGGCTATCTGCAGAAGCAGCATGGTGTATAAAATAGAATGCGGTTAAAAGTTACCCTCATACTTTTCTTGGCTTTTAGGCTAAGATTAAGTGTAGTATCTGTTTTTATTAGTTTAATATATAATACGTAAATAAATGGTTTACATGATATTAAATTAATTTTTTTAAAGAGAGAGTCTGTTACAGTAACTTGTTGCTGTAGCTCTCGCGCGTAGCCTTTGTGTTGCACTACTGCATTGGCCTGGCCCACCCTCCAAGAGTAGTTCAAATTGTTTTTTATACAAGTCTCTGAAACCTTGGCAAAATTGTTGATCTCGATGATATGATCTCTGAGTTGGCTTTCCGAAACAGAAAGCCCTTGTTCAAATTTCCCCACTGAAAATCAAAACAAAGGCAGCACAGACAAAGGGTTTGCAAAAGTTTTTGATCGTTTTGACACCAACAAAGATGGCAAGATCTCCAGCGACAAGCTCCACGCTTACTTCACGTTCATCGAGGAAGCCATGTCCAACACCGAGGCTCAGAGCGTGATCGAAGAATTCGACAAAACAAAACAGGCGACGACTTCTTGAAGTTTGAAGACTCTGAAGTTGATGGAGCGAGAGGGTGATGGCAATGAGGATCCTAAAAGGGCTTTTGAGATGTTTGAGGTTGATACGGCCTGTGGATGCATAACGCCGAAAGGATTGCAGAGAGATGCCAAATCGTACGATGAATGTGTGTCCATGATTGTGTAATTAAAGTACCAAGTTAAACTTCTTGTGCCAAACAAATATTGAATCCAAATTATAAATTCAAACATACAAAATTGTTAATTTAAATTTATAGTTTGACAACATAAGCATTTTATGCTGCATTTTTACTACTATTAAGGTGCATTGAGGACCGTAATTCCTCAAGTAGTTCCACCTAGATGATTTTGCTTTTTCAAATTCTCTAGAATTTATACGCGGTTTTCCTTGCGCCTTCCTCATTGGGGCTAAAGGTATAAGAGTGGCATCTCTAGGAAATAAACTTGCCACGATGTCACTACAATATCTGAAGTTCAGTCAATCACACACTACAATGCTCTTTGATTTTCTCATAGCATTGAGTGACAATATCTGAAGTAAAGTCAATCACACACTACAATGCTTTTTGATTTTCTAATAGCATTGAGTGACAATGGTATCTCATTGCATGAAAGTCGTCCAGAGGTGGACTGAAAATTCTGCATATATACATTGTGAGACAGAAAAAAGTAAAGTAAAAATGTAAATCAAATTAATGAATTGATTCATGACATTAAGGCCACAATAAAAAAAAAAACCATGTGATACTATGGAGTCAATTCCTATGCACTTTTGGCCTTCGGGTTCTAACATGAAAGGCCGAAGCTATACCAATACAACAACATTTTCATAAGGATTCGACGTGATCATGGAGTGCCGGCTGTCGACTACCTGACGCCCGCCGAAGCTATACCAATGTGGGAAAAAAAAGATTCAGAAGCACCCAATAAACTCAAGGATTCAGATTCAGTCCTCAATAAGGAAACAACCCTGTCATTCTAATATGTTCTAGGGTACTTCGAAGCCCGTATTTCTGCACTGCCTGTTGACCGGCCCTGAATCCATCTCCATATACCGGGGACATGTCTGTTTCAAGCTGGTGCAAAAAGAACCCCCCGAGCTTACTCTCAAGCGGTGATCTTGTACCCTTCTTTGATGCCCTGGAAGAGGAGGAAGACGAGGTTGATGCAGCATTGCCGCCTGAGCCAGACATAAGCTCGGCCTCTAGCCACATATGAGCTAAAACTTGACAGATACCTTCTTCGACATCTTGACTAAGAGGTCGGTAACCTTCAAGAAGTATTGAGAATCTAGTCAGTAATTTTCATTTTGATGCCATCTTTAGTTCACAATTCCTTTAGCAGAAATGGGACTAAACAAGCAAATAAACGGATCCATCTAAAAAGCACCTTTAAGCCGCAGCCATGCATGCATCATCTCGTGAGCTAGAATAGACCCAGTCAGCAACCTGTACGCAGACAGTTCTAGTCATGCAACGAATTCAGCCAGAAGTTACAGTTGTGCCACAAATCGAAAATAGATAGAAACGCACCTTGGAAGACCATATAAGATTAGAATTGCAGTCACCTCACAGCGACGAGTCAGCTTGTAGGGCTCTGTTATCAATTCCGCAGCTTGGTGTCCTGCCCCAAACCGTGGCCGCCTTGAAATCTGGTGGTTCTCGGATCAATACAATATAAGTTGCTAACCCACGAGAAGATACCATACAAAAAAACCACCTGTGTGGAAAGCAAAAATAATATATTCATAAAACTCTCACCTTGCTAATAGTTTGTTCCTCAGAAAGGCAAAGCCCTCTAGTCTCAGGCATGTGATAATGGCCCTAGAAATGACAAAAAGTTGATCAAAGTCGGATTTAGTCTCTAAGCTTAAAAAGAAAACCTTCAACAGAAGATGAGCAGATAACAATACAACAGGATGCAAGTGTGACATTTGGACTATACAAATTATTGGAGAGAATTCGAAAAATCTGCAGAGAAACTTGTACGTGCATGTTTCTGTAACATGTCAATAACATAAAATCAATGGAATGAATGATTTTCATATGCATTAGTTTTGTAATTATCAGAGAAATGAGAAAAAAAAATTCGATTAACAATGCATGACTTGCCAATTATGACCATGGAAAACTGTCCTACTTTCGTACTAGAAGGATATGGTTTTAACTGAATGTCTTTACATTTCTTTCTCCTCCTCTTGCGTCATTTAGCGCTTGTCTTTCAACCAAGAGTAGTGGAACTTGCTGCTCCAACTTCATATTTAAACCTTCATAAAATTCTTGAATATCGAGATATAAGGGTTGGCATTCACTGGTATCCATGACTGCAGAATCCAGACACTCTAGACAGAGCTTCCGACCATCATCAAGGGGTACATATCTTGTGTCTCGGGCCTGCATGTAACGTATAGACATCTTGTAACAAACTCTTTTGCTTTCTATTTTCTTTTTCTTTGAAAAATCGGGTCAGCCATATTTCATAGCATAACTGCAGAAAGTAATTTATTCCGACTGACCTCCATTCGCTCACAACTGCCGCACCGAGGAGTATTATCAATTTCATGAGCAGGGCAGTATTTTTGGACCCAAAATGGATGTGCCCTATATTCAATAAGACCAGCAGGGTTTGTTGGAATCTGTCAAAAGATGTATATTACAAAAACGAAGAACAACTATCAACAAATCATATACGAGTTATTTCTCGACATTTAGTATTCAACTTAAAATAAAATTCAATGAGGCATGGTTAGCAGCTGTCATGTGTCCTTCCTCTTATCACCGTCGTAACTTAAAAATCAAATCAGATCGTGATACTTACAAAATGCTTGCAAACATCACATTTTGGATGGTAGCTCTCCTTGTAGCAAGCTTTATGGTAAGGATAATGCCCAGATGTAGAAAACTACATAAAATGAAACATATGTAAGATAAATTGGACAACCGAAAGTTATCTTGCAAAAGAACCATTACTGAAATTAAACCTATTTTTGCACCTCATAATCAGAAATTGGTTGGTTGCATGCACGACAGCGGAAACATTCTGGATGCCAAACTGCATTCATGCAATTTAAATATCGTCCAAAACCGATCTCAGCATTGCAACCAGCACAAACCCTATGTCAAAAAATGAGAATACTCAGTGCCATAATATGGGAAATAAGCAAAAAGGCCCAATATGGAATGTAATGTTAAGTTCCACAGAGAAATGTCGGTGCATCAAGAGGAGTTTGGTGTTCAGTGTGGTCGATGTCGAGAAAAGCAACTACAATTCCACAACTTACATCCTACATACTGAATAAATTGTTAACATTTCAAATTAACATCCCATCAACTCAAGTTTCTTTATTTGTCATTCCTAAACACAGTGACTTCAAAATTCCATCATTGTACACAATCAGGTCCAAGCGAAAGAAATCAAAATTTACAAAGTAACAGAAGCATAGAATAGGAATTCACGGTATACAAGAGAAGGGGTAATGACTGAGAATACAAAGAAGCATTGAGAAAAAGTTAGAAATGAGATGCCCTCAGACAATTACATATTGTTGTTTCAAAGACCATTCTACACATCCATGAGGTAATCAATCAGTGAAGCAACGTCAAGGAAGAAATAGCACTGAAATGTGACTACAGTTGTCCATCTTATAATCATATACCTGGAGCCCATTGGGTAGTACATGGGGATAGGATATGAACTTCCATTTCCATATCGGGGAGGAGTGATAGGTTGATATGTATTTCCATTTCCATTTCCATGTCGGGGAGGAGGGATAGGAGGGATAGGTTGATATGTATTTCCATTTCCATTTCCATGTCGAGGAGGAGACTCCGCATTCAGACTTTCTTGTATGACTCTGGCAAGTTGTTCATCTTCTTGCAACTGAGAATCAGAACCTATCCAAGAATATGAAATTCTTATTGATTCAAACTGAATCATTTGACAGTACAAGAACGACAGAATGTATATATATCATCCATAGGAAAAATCACTCACCAACCACATTTTTCCCTTTTTGGTTTTCTTCTAAAAGAGAGAGCGCAATTGCACGATCTATATCTTCATTCTCATTTTCTGACCAGACCTCCTACAATGAAGTTTCCCACCACAATATGTTAAAGGAGTTCAAACATACCAAATGAGGATTAGAAAGAAACTCGTGTTCCATAAAGTGATCGTTTTCCATAATATCAAGAAGGGTTAGATGTTATTACCCCTGAACAAGAAGGTTCATGGCTATCTGGATCCTCGCCACTGTTGTCATGACAATGCTCCTCCGATATTTTGTGGCTCGAGCCTTTAAAAATCTTGCTAAGCCAACCCATAATGTGCAAGGTTATCTGCTCATAGTCAATCAAGTTTTTTACTGAACATGAAAACACCATCTGAGTTAATGCTGGAAACAAAATTACTGAGAATTGATACAAATAAAACCAGAATGCCAGTGCAAGTTCATGTAACCAAGCAAATCCAATCAGGTGCAAAACAATACAAAAACCGAAAAATTAGGACATAACCTGATGGCATGACCTATTTAATTTCATCACCTAAAATTCCAGAAAGTGGATTTTGCAAATCATGCATGGACATCCCAATTCTAATAACTAATTATTCACCGATTGCATTTTTCTTCAAGAGAATATAATTAAATAAAAAATAAAAAATAAAAGTAATACTACAGAAGTAATTCACCCACCACGCATTTTAGCACCCCACAATGTTCAAGCTATGACTTCAATACGCAGAAATACAGGCGTGCCTAGTCAATTATTACTAAAACATCCATTTATGGAGGAGAGAGGGGAGAGATTCTTCCATTAACTTGAAGACATATAACAATTAATCTGAGGTAAAAGGAAAAGGCAGAGAATACAAAATAGTGGACAAATGAGTCACCTCCAAAAGAATCCAGAGACTTTTGCAACAGTTGTGAATGCTAACAGAGCAGACCCAGATCAGATAAGATCCCAACACGATCAAAAGCACCATTTTTTTACAGCTCACAACCAAAATTTACAGAATTTAAACTCCTCCATCTCTCTCCCTCTCTCTCCTGGGTTGGGTCAATAAAATATAAGCTAGTCCAGCAGGCAAAGGAAGCAAAGAACAAAGAAAAACAAAAGCTTGATCCTTTAACTCTTTAAATTCAGAGCAGAATCTGGCAGAGGAAAAATGGGAAGAAGAAAGGAGAAATTAAATATCCTTCACGTGTTCAAATTAAAAGGAAATCCCAGAAGCAATTTCAATGGAGGAGTACACGAACAGTCCTCGGAAATTCAAAGACAATATTTTGAAAGAAAAAAAAACAACTGTAAAAACTCCAGCGATTGACTTTTTATCCCGCCCCAAATGGGGTTGACTAATTTTTCATCAAACCCAGTTGGGGAAATTTATCAGAGAATGCCCTTTCGAAAGTTTTCGAGGAATCGGAAAGAAAACGAATTAAATATCTAATCTTTAACAAATGATATGAAATTTTGGAAGAGAAAAAAGAAAGAAAGAAAGAAATAAATGTCCTTTTGGGAGCTTTAAAGTTAAAAACTAACTACCTAAAAGAGCAGAAAAGCTGGATTTTGTGAAGATATCTTTGAGAAGGAAAAAGTGGAAGGAATCCGAAAATAGAAGCTGAATTCTATGGCTTGCTTAGATAAAAGCACTTTTGCAAACGTGACTTGGTTTGGTATTAGCGTGTTTTGAAAAAAAAAACTATTACTGATATGTTGTCAAAATAAGTTCATTTTTGCTATTTCATATTTTCGATTTTTTTTTCATTTAAAATTATGAAAATAATCTGTTTTTAAGTGTTTACCAAACACTTTTTTTAACTCAACTTTTTTTATACCCACTTTTTATAAAATTATCTCAGTACCAAACAAACTAGTATTTAACTAAAAACACTTTGAACAAGGTTTGGTTGAAAGTGTTTGCAGAATACAAAAATAATTTTGTGAAAAGCGCTTTTATTAAGATTTTACATGATACTATCATTCTCAATTCGTTATTGTTGGATGGAATTGTCAGTTGATTACGTTTATATAGACAAAAAGAGTAGTAATGTTTGCAGCATTCATTGAATCTAATCTATATAGGTTTTTATAACATGATTTTATTTTTATTTGTACAACGTTGTTATAATGATTTTATTTTCATTGAATCTCCTTGACAATGATACCTATTTATTGCTTATGGTTTTGTTGTTCCACGTGGTACAATTTTGATTATTTTTTTTCTACATGCGAGCAAATAATGAACGTTCAAACCATGTAACGGTACAATTTTTTTTTGTTTGCGCTATAATTAAAAGAAAAACCAAACCAAATCAAATCGAACGGTTTGGGTTCATGCATTGTATGTTTGAGCTGAATAATTTGTTTCCTATTATTAAACCAAAATTACCAAATCAAAGTATAATTAATGCAGCATCATTGTTTAAGTGTTTAATTCTCTAAACTGACATAATTATGTTTTAATTTAATTATTATATGTCGCTATCCATACATTTACAAATCGTCATACATTGAATTCTTCATCGACTATATGCTCCTTATATGAAATTAGTTTCTGTAATATTAAATATCAAAGTTTGAAAAATGAAATGTCAATTTCCCACGTGCCATTGGTTTTTGGGTTTTACTTTGTCAATAAAAGGGTCTGTGACAATGTGAAACAGCTTCCGTTCACCCTACCTAAGAAAGGAAAATGGTATCTTTGTTTACTTTTAACAAAAGATAAAATATCTTACGTATACAGACAATTTATTCAGATGGATTCTTATTTTTTTAGTAAAATGGAAATTGTTGAGCCAAAAATAATTATAAGGCGATACGTGGATTTTTGGATGAAGATGACAAATTTACTCTCGAGACATACCAGGTCTCCTATATGCGAGCAGTGAAAAATCATCCATCAACCAAATCAGGAGTACCCAAAATAAGTAACAAGTTCAAATTTGTCTCATCCATCCTCATTCCATAACCTCCAAAAACCTCTCAAAACATTTCTTTTATTATGATAATTAGCCAATTAATATATTTATACGTAATTAATATATTAATTGCTAATTGAATCACCAAATAACATCCCAAAACATACTTAAAGGCCAGCCACACCCCATTCCCTATATATATGACCCTATTTCTTCTAAAAAGCTAAGTTGATACTCTTGCAAAACTCCCAAAAATCCTCCAAACATTTTTTCTCTCTAAATTCTAACTTTGGTATCGGAAGTTCTTCAATCAAAGCCCCCTCATTCATCATGGACGCGTGAGGTTCTTGGCCTTGACCAAAGGTGTTGATTGTTTTGTAGGTGCAATTTTGTCAAAGAAGGAAAATGTGAAAATCTGCATCCACATAAATTAGCTGCGGGGCTCCTTATACATCGAACTTCAATGATTTGAATCGTTTATATTTTAACTTTCTATTCATAGATCATATTTACAAAATACCAAATCGATATGAAATCATTTACTCATTTCATTGTCATGAATAAATTTTAATGTTTCTTAAAATATTGTGTTCGTCAATTTTTTTAAACTCAAATAGATTCCTTAAACATTTTCGATTTGACTAATATTTTGAAAGGGTGATTTGTAAAAGTGCAACTTGAAAAATAAACGGTTTGAATCGTTTATATTCTATATAGAATGGGCCTCACAATTAGTCTTCATTTTTTACCAAAGGTAGGTATCCCTTTGGATAAAAGACCTGTCTACGTATATATACTCATAATAAATTACGATCAATCACAACTTATTATTGAACTTAATGTAACTGTATATTGTATGAGCATTCGCATGAGTATAACTTAATACCTTTTCAACTAAGCAAAACTAATTGTTTATGTCAGTCAACAAAACAGTATATTTACCCAAAATAAAAGGTCAACCATTTATGCATATAGATTTAGTCTTCTACTATTTTGCGATGGACTTTGTTTTCTTCGACCAAAAAATGGGAAAGTGTCCAAGTGCATGGTGTAGTTGCAGTTTAATTTTTAATAGGTTGCTTATTTAAGCAAATCCGAATGTTGTCATGGTCAATGTCAACAATGATGGGCCTCAATTAGGTGAAACAAACCAGACGAAATCTTAAACTAATTCAAAACAAATAAGCAACTTTTCAAATCACTTTCATTATTATTATTTTTTTTTTCAAAAAAGAATCCGTTGGTGGCTTCGTCATAACAATTTATATTTTTATAAACTGAAAAGACTTACTGGGGCATTTCAGATTCATCTTAAACATTATCGTGTGATTCATTAATGCCAAGAATCGAACTAATGACGTGTCGTAGTTTAAACCACCTTCATTCTTTAAAACTAATACAATTAGCACAAAATACAACAACAATCTTTGCTCCTTTTGGAAGTCTGGTTTCTCTTTGGGCCTGTCTTTGGGCTTTATTGGTTTTTTTTTCTTCCGTCCAAGAGATGTAAAATGGCCCACGTACTAGGAATTTCTGTCTATACATAGATAGAAATACATACACGAATGAAGTAAATTAAAGTTTTCTATTTATATACAAGTTATTAAGTTTCTCTATACCAACCGGTGAATGAGATCCATTGATATCTGAACAGCTAGATTGCAACGGTTAGAATTCAAGCATGCAAAATTTAGCCGTTTTCGCAAGTTACAATGGTTTGTCAAGTTTTAAACAAATACGAGCTTTCACTAGCTTATGATCAAAATTGTGAATGTCGTTCATTGTTCATTGCTCCATGTGAATGCGAAGTCGATTTGATTTCATTAGAGTCTTGCGTCTTGAACAAAATCCAGTATGTCCACGATGGAAGTCTCATCAGAGTTTTCATTAAACTCTCGAAAAATAATTAAAATTTGAGGAAACAATTCCCATGCCATCCAAAAATTTAGTCATCGGAATTACTTTACTACGAAAATTAAAAGTTCTTCAAAAAAGGGGACAACAACATTACACGTCAAAGAAGAGTAATGCTAAAAAAATTAAATTTGTAGACAAAATTTGTAAACTAAATGACATAGAAGTTAATGATTAAATTATTACTTAAACGTTGATAAATGTGCTCATTTCTTATTTGTGAGACATCGTTTAGTTTGAAGATCCTTCCCGAATCCTCTTTGTTGGGATCCTCACATCATAACCGTTTATCATAAATCATGCAGTTAATTTTCGTTAAAAAATATTTATGTTTAATTTTAAATAAAAAAATTACAAATAATTTATAACTGCACGTACGATAAACAACTAAGATGCTTAATATTCCCACAAATCCTCTTTATCGAGTACAATTTCAGACACCTGGCTTTCATCCACCGGGCTCTGGAAGCATGCGTCTGCGTGGCGAGTGCATTTACTCCGCACTACTTTCTTTCGAATTTGTACGCGATAATTTCTTCTTCTTTTTTTTTTTTATCGGCATCTTGCTTATCGGAATGATTGGATTCCTTACCTGATTCAAATTTCTGAAATTCCTAGTCTTTGTCTGGTTGATGTGCAGCCCTCGCAGTTGTCGCGGAAAAAGAAGCTATCGCGGCTCAATTTCTCCATATTTCTGGACCAAAATTGAAGTGAAATGGTGAGCCTTTTTTGATTTAATTCCGTGTAATTTTAATAATTTCATTCAATTTTGTCTATTTGGTGTGTTAAGTATGCTTTTCTTGCGATTCTGTATTGTTCTCATGGTGGCCTGAAGGGAATTAGGGATTTGTTTTTTAATTTACTTTTTTGAAGAATTAGTTGCATTTATGTGGAAGTTTTATTTGACATACGATATTCTAAATTACTCTAATTTACGGGGAGGATGATTCGAACTTGTATGCATTGGAACGGGCACACTGCTCTAGCCGACTGACCTAACCCGTATTTGCTGCACTTTTTATGAAGTTGTGGATAAGAAGCTGAATATTGTTTTGTATTTCCTTTAGTTTTAATCTACCATTTTTTTTGAAGTTCTAACAATCGTTTATCTCCCTACGCAAACTCAAACACACAAAGTTGCAGACTTGCAGTCTAAATGATCTAGAAACTGGTCACTGTATGAATCTAATGATTTTTTTAATTACTTGAATTTTGCAGAAGCAAAGACAAACCCCCAAGTCCCTCTCCAAAACTATGGAGATGGATTTGGATAGAATTAGCAACCTACCGTGTCATGTTATAGATCAAATTTTGTCACATTTGCCGATTAGGGAGGCTGTGCGAACAAGTGTTTTGTCGACCAAGTGGAGGTACAGATATGCTAGGCTTCCACAGCTTGTGTTTGATAACCACTGTTTCTCGCCTCAAAACCAATCAACCTTCGTCAACATTGTTGATCATGTGCTTTTACTTCACATTGGCCCCGTACACAAGTTCAAGCTGTCAAAGAGGGACTTTCTGGCCACTGCTGATATTGATCGCTGGATTCTTCATCTGTCAAGAAGCTCAATCAAAGAGTTCATACTTGAAATTTGGAAAGGGCAGCGCTACAAGATGCCCTCATGCTTGTTTTCTTGCCAGGATATGATTCATTTAGAGTTGTTCAATTGTTTGCTTAAACCTCCATCGACATTCAAAGGCTTCAGGAGTTTGAAGAGCCTTGACCTTCAGCATGTTACCCTGGCCCAAGACGTCTTTGAAAATATGGTTCTTCGCTGTCCTCTGCTTGAGAAGTTGACTGTGATGAACTTTGACGGTTTCTCCCATCTCAACATTGATGCGCCAAATCTCCAATTCTTTGACGTTGGAGGTAAATTTGAGGATGTTAATTTCAAGAATACCTCAAATCTTGCTGTAGTGTCCATTGGTTTGTATGAACATGTTGGCAACTCCTTTAGACGGCTTCCTAGCAGTTCTAGCAATCTGCTCAAGTTTTTTGCTCACCTTCCTGGTATCCAGAGACTTGAAATTCAGAGTTACTTTTTAAAGGTAATTGGTTGTGTGGTTTCACTCTCTTAAGCATATTGGTCGGGTGGTATCTTAAGCATCTTTTCCTTTCCAGTATTTGGCTATTGGTCCCTTGCTAGGAAAGCTGCCTAAACCATGTCCAGTTCTGAACTATCTTTCTCTACGGATAAGCTTTAACGATTTGGACGAGGTCTTGACTGCTGTATGCATTTTGAAAAGCTCTCCCGCACTACAAGAAGTAGAAATTTTGGTGAGATTTATTCCATTGATGCATGCAAGAATGAATTTAGGCTTTGTCATGGTTCAAGAATATGATATCGTAGACATTTTCCTTTATGCAGGTCCGCCCAGAGGACATTGCTGTTGTGGGAACAGTTGACCTTCAGTTAGATGTAAACTGGAAATGCCCAGTCACCCAACTGCGACTTGTGAAAATCAACGGCATCTCAGGTACCAAACCGGAACTAGAATTCATCAGATTTCTACTTTTGAGTTCACCTGTGCTCGAGAGGATGACTGTGAAGCCTGCATCCGTCAACTGTGATTGGGAGATAGTTAAAGCTTTGCTTCTGTTTAGGCGTGCCTCGGTGCAGGCAGAGATTGTCTACGAGGACCCATGATTCATCAATAAATTTCGACAGATAAGAGGATTTGCTTGCAGGAATGAATGTAGGTTTTGTCGAGATGTTTATGATGCATGTATGTTTGTCTGAACAAAATGTGTCATATCTGTAAACTCTGGGATGTGGATTCATTTGGCATTAACATTGCATAATGTATAGAGAGTTACTATGGCCTCTTTGGTTGTTTCAGCTCGTTTTCATATACGGGACATCTGAGCAGTCACTATGGCATTAAACACCCCCACCCGCACCCAAAAAAAGGGGCAATTGGCAACTCTAAAAACGGCTCAATTTTTCAAGATTGACATTAAAACTCACAATTTCTTTGGCATATTCACTGCTGAAAAGACTAAAGAGTTCCTCCTGCCTCAGCTAGCCAACTAATGCTTCTATCAACCTACTTGACCGAATGGTGAAGCCCATGAGCCTAGCGCAAAAAAAAATTTATAACGTGGATGATGTCACATGTCAGGTTGACATTACCTTGGCGTCAGATAGCCTCAAGTATGGCATGAGTAAGGCCTCAGGCCATTGGCGTCAAATAGCCTCAAGTATGGCCTGAGTAAGGCCTCATGTCATTCTCGCCTGACTGCTTGGTTTGTGGGAGAAGGGCCCACCCAATTGGTGGGGCAATTGGCATGGGGATTGGGGTGGAGAAGATTTTGGCGGATTAGGAGATTCAATCACCCAATATATTGGTAATTTGTAGTAATGGAGTTTGCTCTAAAAATGAATATCTGAAGTTGAAAAGGACAACAATAATAGGTAATAAGAATTTTTTTGTGAATTATAAGACGATAGAGGTCATAAATATATAAAAAGCCGGTTACATATATATATATATATATATATATAAAAGAATGCGATAGTTAAATAGCATGTGATTTGTATGCGTTGGCATGGATTGCATGAGAAAAGTAAGACAGACATTTGGAGAAATCGGGAACAAGGCATGAATCATATGCTTCATAAAATACAATAATTAAATAAATTAAAAATCGTGTTCATTTGGCTGAACCTCAACCTACCTAACCGTCCAAACTTTTGGTCAAACTTGGAGCCACAAATCTAGTCGGCTACCGTTCGTTTGCTGTGACGAATTTATTTATTTAGAAGGTACAATAATCATTAATTCAAAAAGTTCTTGTAAAGTCAAGATATGGTCCGAGTCGCTGCATTTCAGCAAGTCGGATATTTCTTACACTGAAGCATGTAAATTTGTTGGCTTCTGCCTTTGTTAAGGGTAAATTAAATATAAATCCTATTGAGTTTCCTAAATTAAATATAATTCACCAAAAGAAAAAAAATCAAAACTATTCATTTATATTTTTTTAGTAGAGCAACAACGCTAGTGCTTTTAATCGTTAGTTGTTATATAGAGATGAAAATCAGTAAAAATAAAACGTATATCATAATGCATAATCATGATTTCTCTCCGCTACGGTAGCAAAATGTGATAAACTACAATTCATTTATGTTAAAAGTGTAATCTGCGTATAATGAGCTATTCATTATTGTATATATAGCTATTTTAGTCTTTGGCAAAATCAAATATGTACCCACTTTTACCCCCTCTCTCCTTCGTTACTAGCAATAGTCTATTTAAAAGGAAATGGTTTTCACCCTTCATTTTCTTCCATTTTGTTTGTTTTTATCAATAAATTTTTCAATGTGTCAGAAATATAGCCCGATACACCAAGCGTCTATAATACAATTAATTGAATTTTATTTTTAAGCTTTCAACCAATTATATTACATTTTGTGTATCGAACAGTATTTCCGGTACACTGAAAAATCTGACCTCTCTCTCGCTGCGGCTGCGGGGTGTGGACCCGCTCATCTCAACGTCGACTCGTTTCATGCAAAAGTACGCAACCACCATTCAAACGATGCCTTACCAAACATGCAAGGCTGGCGACCTAAAAACACTCACATCACAAAATCTTAACGACCCAAACCGCCTACAATCTCACCACTTTCTCAAATATAAACACACAAACACAGTCTCCCTCTCTTAAACTCTTAACACTGCAGCTTTTGAGCTGAGAGATATGGCGGTCGACAATGGTCACAATACCCCTCTCCTGGTTTCCAACTACAGCGGCCATGAGGACGGAGAAGAGAAAATTGGAGTTGTTAAGCAGTTCGGGATCGAGTCCAAGAAGCTGTGGAAGATTGCCGGTCCAGCGATCTTCACCGCCCTCTGTCAGTACTCCCTGGGTGCCCTCACTCAGGTGTTTGCTGGGTTCGTCGGGGACCTTGAGCTAGCCGCTGTCTCCATCGAGAATTCTGTCATCGCCGGACTCGCTTTCGGCGTCATGGTAATGGATCAAATCTCTTTAAGTCATTCACTCTCTGTCACCAAACTAATCCAATCCAATCACTCTTAATCATCATCAAAAGCCGCCTAAGTGTTGTACATGATCAGCCTAAGTCGTTTATATATATATATATATATATATATATATATATATATATATATGTATGTATGTATGTATATATATGAAAAAAGGCTATTGTTCTTTTTCAGATTTGGAAAGAGGACTTTTATCATTCCGCACATCAAACACGTTTTGTAGGATTCACTTCGTAATGTATTTTAGTGACCCTAACTTTTTATATTTTAGATTATCATTCATCGATCATCATTGCAAAAAATTAAACTCTAAAACCATTAAGACATTCACTTATACGTAGTGAAGAAAATAGTCGAATATGGTTCTACAAAGAAACACTAAGTTTAATCCATCATATGGTTTCGGATTTTGGTAATTTTTGGTACAATAATATTTGAGGAAAAACCTAAAAGATATACGGTTTAGATTATTAGAATACATTACAAAGGAAGCCTTACAAAAAATCGTGTTTGCCCATAAAAAAATCAAATACATAAACAAATAGAAATGTTTAGAAAAATGAACATTAGACTATAATAATTATCGTGTTATTTGATTCAATTGTCCTAAATTCATAAATCTACGATACGTCATATATAATCAGTTGGGATAGTACAAGTAAGATGATTTTTACATACATTTTTTTACCTTTTACATATTTTCATTTTTATTTGACCATCAAATTGAATAAATTAAACGAAAACTACACTTATGATTAAATAGGAATGTGTGAGATGTTAAAAAATATGAGATCTACCAACGCATTAAAAAATAGTACAAATATAGTATGAAAATTACAATAAGATTTGCATTTTTGGTATGTTTATTAATTGCAGGGTTCAAATACGGAAAAGGTATTACTGTTTTTTTGGAGTGATTTACTTTGGATTTAGTATTTGTAATCTAGCTTAAGCTTGATTAGTAATTAATTAGATTTGTGATTTGGGGGCCCGCAGTGGGGTATGGGTAGCGCATTGGAGACGCTGTGTGGGCAAGCATACGGTGCGGGACAGATCAGGATGTTGGGAGTGTACATGCAGAGATCATGGATCATTCTGCTGGTGACCGCCTGTGTATTGGTCCCCATCTATGTGTGGTCCCCACCTATTCTCGAGCTTATTGGAGAGACCACTGAGATCTCTGAGGCCGCTGGTTGGTGATATTTCCTTTTTGGCTGAGTTTTAGTTTTTATTTTTTTATTTAAATATTGACAAATAAAAATGTCATTGGATCACATCATATGAAAGCACATGACCCTAAAAAAATCCCATGAATAATAACTACATTCCTTTGATCAATAACTAAATAAATAAATAGAATGCCAAAGAAAAATGGTTTATGATCGAATGATACGTTATTTTATCTTTATTATGCTTGTAGTTTAATATTTTAATAGATAAAGTGTTAAACTTATACTCATGCATCACAGGGTCGTTACTCATTTGTTTTTAAATTATTGTGATAATTTCGATTTTTTTTCCACCTAATAACAACAAACTTACAAAAAAAAAATTAAAAAAAACTTTAACTTTTATGTGTATGCAAAATTAATTTGTGATACCGGCAGTGTAACACATACTCTACTAGCCAGTCCCCAAGTCTCAAGGCCCGAGCTAACTTTTTGCCCAAAAATGAAAGTTTCTCTTTTCTCTTCCCCATTTTAAATAAGGGTGATGCTAAGAAGAGACAATATTCGTAGATTATATTTTGTATATCATATGACATGATATTTAATAGTTGGATTCATTTTTTAAATCATTAAAAATGGAATCAAACGATTAATTGTCACATTATGTGTTTTACAAAATATGATCTAAACAAATGGTCTCCTTAACATTTTCCTTAAAATTAATAATCGCATTTTTAGCAAAAACCTTGGTTAGACGAGTTTGGCAGAGTAATATGTCCGTCTTCTTATATCCAAATTTGAATTCACTTTCTATAGGTTATTTTATTTTATAACATATCTCATCTAAATACCGTTGTATGTGGTTCGAGGAACCTCTTGCTGTCATTTGTGATTTGAGTTTTGAGGAAAGTCTCCTCTTGTTTGTTTTTGGTTAACTTCCCACACTTGTCGTTGATGTGTTGGTGGGTAGGAGAAAAATCTTACTACTAGGGCTTTTGCGGTGCAGGAAAGTTTGCGGTGTGGATGCTTCCACAGTTGTTCGCCTACGCCCTCAACTTTCCAATTCAGAAATTCTTACAAGCACAAAGCAAAGTTAGTGTGATGGCCTGGATCTCAGTTGCAGTACTTGTAGAACATGCATTTTTCAGTTGGTTGTTGATACTTAAGCTCGAGTGGGGTCTGACTGGGGCAGCGATCACACTCAACGTTTCCTGGTGGTTCATAATTATTGGCCAGTTGCTATACATCTTCATCACCAAGTCAGATGGTGCTTGGGGTGGATTCTCTTGGCTTGCGTTTGCAGACTTGTGGGGATTTGTTAGGCTCTCTTTATCTTCTGCTGTCATGTTGTGGTGAGTAGTCCGGCTATGGAGCAAGCTTATGTTCGTTAATGAGTAACACACTGTTAATATGTCATTGGTAATGAGTCGATATTATCTGCATACATATTGTCCATGCATGTTCGACAATTTTGATGCACGTCCCCTCTATATTAAACAATGAACATCCTGCACCGAGAATTTTGTCGTACTAAGGTTTTTGTATAATTGCAGCTTGGAATTCTGGTACTTGATGGTGCTGGTGGTTATAACCGGGCGTTTGAAGAACCCTTTGATCCCAATTGATGCCATCTCTATTTGGTGAGTTGCTTTAACCATCTAGATATTTTGCACAGAACTATGAATTCACTTTTTGACCTCATATTTCTTCTCATTTATGCAGCATGAACATAAATGGATGGGATGCAATGATTGCACTAGGGTTCAATGCTGCAATCAGGTAAACTTATTTACTTATGTTCTCATCTGGCCTTTCTTTTTGTAACTTGTTGACTTTTTGGTACAACTAAAGATCAACATGTCATGAATTCGACTGATACGGAAGGTGGTATCCTAAATTTTCTGACTATATGCTATATGTTGCAAAACAAACAGCGTGAGAGTATCAAATGAACTTGGAGGTGGTGATTTCAAGAGGGCCAAATTTGCAGTGATAGTAGTTTCGATAACTTCCATCGCTATAGGAATCGTCTGCATGATCGTAGTTTACACGACGAGAGATTATTTCCCCTACCTTTTCACCAACAGTGAAGCCGTTGCGGAGGAAACTACTAAACTTGCAATATTGCTTGGAATCACAGTCCTCCTCAACAGCCTTCAACCAGTCTTATCTGGTAATTACAATTAACCACATAATTAACCCAGACTTTGGCGTAGACACACACACACACACACATATATCTATCTATCAATTAAGTGTTCTTTTTCTTGACAATTTGTTGTGTTTAATTTGTTTTTGAAGGTGTTGCTGTTGGAGCTGGATGGCAGTCTCTTGTTGCATACATCAACATTGGGTGTTACTACATTATCGGATTGCCGGCTGGAATACTTCTTGGATTCACATTTAAATTTGGAGTCGAGGTGATACAATTAGACGACTTACTATTTTGGAGTGCCAGCAACAATTCCATAAATCTAATCTCTCTCCTAATCTGCGTTTTTCAAACTTGTTTTGTAGGGTATTTGGTCAGGAATGATTGGTGGCATTCTCTTGCAAACCATAATCTTGATAGTAGTCACTTCCGTAACTAACTGGAAGAAAGAAGTATTAAGTCCTTACTCTTGATTAACCTTAAATCGTTTTAATTTGCTTAAGCCCATACTAATTATGTCACAAAATGTGCAGGCTGATGAAGCAGAGAGCCGTGTCGCTAAGTGGGGAGGAGGAGGAAGAGATGCAGATATGTAAATCGAAGACGAAAACTTCAAAATTAATTAAGGGGTGACAGTCACACAGAGCTTTTGCAGAAACCATCGGCAGTGCAGTTATGCATTGGCATTGAGCTAAGCAAGATTTTGATGCTAAATCCCGGAAGTAACGGATAATAGCGGATAGCTGGTATTGCCAGAACTCAGAAGCAGAGAAAACTGGTGAGGCGTCGATTTTGTTTGTATTTAGAATGGTGTTGGTTATTCAATTCTAATAAAGTTTCCAATACTATCGGCAACATGCTCGCAAAAATGAGTACATTCTCCAATGATCAATAAATGATGAATTCAAATCCGAGCGCAAAACTGAATTATTTGGAGAAAATCACTCTGTGAAGAACAATTATAAAACCTTGATTCAGCCACTAACGTGACACAACGACGCAAGTACCACCAACTAAAAGCAAACTTCAAACCACAACCTCTCACACAATAGACTAAAAAAACAACGCAAAAAACGGATCCATGTTCAGTTTTTGCAACTTTTAAAAGTGAAACTAAACCTTTTTCACAGCTACGACGGGAGTTTTATTGGAGTAACAAAATTTCCATGCTTTAATCGCCCGTATAGACTAAAAAAATAACGCAAAAAACGCATCCATGTTCAGTTTTTGCAACTTTTAAAAGTGAAACTAAAAACCATTTTCACAGCTACGACGGGAGTTTTAATGGAGTAACAAAATTTCCATGCTTTAATCGCCCGTGAACTATCTTGTATGCATCGCAAATAATTTTGATAGTGGGTGTTTACACTAGGATGGGCAACGGTTATGACGGGCGGGTAACCACGGTTATTTACCAATAACCGTTTATGCTCATACCCGCATAACCGTTTACCCGTTGGGTAATTGCCTAAACGGTTATACACATACCCATAACCGTTTATAAACGGTTAACTATACCCATAACCGTATAGCCATTTAATCGTAACCGTTTAATACCCGTTCACCCATTTACCCATTTTAACTTTTTATCTTTATTTTTTAACCATTACCCATTTTTCATCCGTCTACATGTTTTTTAACAACTTGAAAATTAAAAAAAAAATTGTCATAATTTTCTTTTTTTTGACAATTAAACACCGTTATAGGTACATTCATCATACATTTCCGTATTTTAATTTTTTAAGTCCTTATATCATTCCAATAATTGAAATAATAGTTTACGGACGATATTTTTAACTATTACCAATGAAGGTAAATATAATATTTGCTAAGTATTATTGGGTTACAAAAATTGTTTAGAAGACATTTTTGTCAAAATATTTCTGTCAATTTCACGGTTACTCTCAATGAATTTAAATTAATTTGACGAATTTCTTGATGATGAGAATCATCATTCCTATAACAGCGTTATTAAGAGAATGACCGATAAATTCCTTGCTAATTTATTGGGTGCTAAGTATAATTGGATCAAGAACATGATTTGTGTTAATTTTACATATATAAAATAAATGAGTAAACGGTTACCTGTTTATAACCGCGGTTCATACCCATAACCGCTCATTTAAATTTCGCGAGTAAGCGGTTATATCCATAACCGTTTATTTACCTAAACAGTTATTCATAACCGTAACCGTTTAATTTAAATAGACGGATAACCGCGATTATCCATAACTAATAGGTATTTGCCCATCCCTAGTTTACACCATTATCTTTTCAAGATGAATACGTTAATAAAGAACAAACACGTAGAATTCAACTTACACACTTTGAGTCAAAGTCATCATCCATGTTACTTAACATATTAAGATGGAGGGTCCCTACCCAATCACTATCGACTCGATCTAACCTAATGACATTTATGTGTCAGACTAAGTTCTTTATCCTAATCGCAGTAGCCTTTTTTCAAGTCACGATCAAATTTAGCTTCCAATCGCGGTATGTACTTTGGCATCAACCCCAAACCCTTTTCAAAAAAAATGTCTCATATTTTTACCTACCTAAAATGAGTATTGAAGTAATTCTAATTTCTAAATTCTTTTTTTTGGTAGTTGGTAATGTATTCAAACTAAGAAAAATATTGCGTGTTCCATAATTTTTTTTTTTACTGCAATACTAAAAAATAAAATTTCATACCAATTAGACGTGCTATGCGATATCTTACCCTTTCCTTCTTTCTATTTTTAAATACATGACTTTCTTATTCTAAGTGGGCAAACATAATAAAAGTGGTAAGATGCCCTCTTTTCTCTCACTGTGAGAGTTCTTCCCTTTGTTTGAGGGTGCTTCTCACCATATTGTGTGAGTAATTTCCCGATCGTGCTTCCGTTAATTGTTGCCGCTGATCCTAGCTACGGCTGTGATCGATGGGTGGTTTTTTGTATTTGCTTTTTCTTTCTTCTCCCCATCCATCTGTTGATGGTCTTTCTCCTTTTCCTCTGGTTTTTTTGCTTTTTCTTTTTTCTCCCCTTCCGTTTGCTAATGGTTATTCTCCTTTTCCTCTCTGGCTTTTCTCATCCCTCAACCCTCGTGGGTATCCCTTTTCATGGCCCTTCTGTGCCTTGTTTTTTTAGCCATGGTTTCTGTAGAGTTTGTGTGTAGAGTTCCGGTCTTGTATCCGACTCGAGTGATTCCCACACCACCACGTTCTCCTTGTTGTCTACCATTCACGGCGGTGTTGGTCGAGATTTTCCTAGAGCTTCTTTCCGATGGTTGGCTTATCTCTCGCTGACCATCTCTTGTTGATGGTTGTGTGCAGGTGGGGCTTGTAGAGGTGATGATTGGCGGTGGATGGAGGATTGGATGGGTGGTTGCTTCTAGGATTAGCGTTGGAGAGCACAATGGATGTTTCTTTGATGTTTGTTTTTGTTTGGGCTTCACTATTGTTGGGCTCATTTTCTATGTTTTCTTTGTTTTTAGGCCCGTTCTTTGTTTGTTTCTAGGAATAAATTGGGCCTTTGTTTTATTTGTAAGTGTATGTTTGTTTTGATAAAAACTTCTCGTTGGCAATCCTTTTGGATCCCACTTTCCAAAAAAAAAAAAAAAGTGGTACGTGTGGAGCTAAAAATAATCACAAGGCGACACGTGGATTTTTGACAAAAGAAGACAAAACTACCCTTGAGGCATACCAGGATTCCTACGCGCAAGCAACATGCAATTATCCCTTAACCAAGTGAAAAGTGCCCAAAATAGGTATCAACTTAAAACCTAATTTATTCATATATTTCCCATTTCATTATGTAGCTAATCAATTAGCTAAATAATATACTTATTCCTTTCATATTTCCTAAAATCATAATAATTGACTAATTAAGGGATTAATTACCTAATCAATCCCTTAATTATCAATTGAAACACCCATCCAAACCTAAAACTACTAAAGTGGCCGGCCAATCCCATCAAGAAAAGTAAACCATCTTATTCTCCACCTTTTCCACTATTTTCCTTTTTAATTACCCTAATTAACTAGCCAATTAATTCAAAAAACCACCAAAACATTCATTTTATGTTTAATAGCCAAATAAATTGGCTAATTAAACCTAAATCAAACACAAAAACCCTAGCTAGGCCGGCCACCCCTATCCCTATAAATAGATTCCCATTTTCACCAAAATATCATTCCAATTCTTTTACAAAAAATCTCAAATACTCTAAACACTATTTCTCTCTCAAATTCTAACTTTGGCATCAGAGGTTCTTCGGCCAAAGCCCCCCCATTCATCGTAGGCGCGTGAGGCTTTTGGCCTTAACCTAAGGTGCTAGTTGTTTTGTAGGTGCAAAATCGTCCAAGATCGAGGAGGAGAAAATTTACATCTACAGTAAGATAAGCCATAATAGTGAATGACGAGCCCATTATGATTTCAAAGGTTGTGGTCTCGCAAAGTGATTTGCTACTAATTTGAGAGCATGGCACTTACTAATTTAAGAGCTCATGACGTGCTTAATTTGATCTCAAAATTAGGTGACAGTGGATCATTTATCCACTTAGCTCATTAATCATGTAAACAATTACTTTAATGCTATGTTTAATTACAAACTCAAGCTATCAGGTTTGACGAGGAGCCGATTGTGTAGAAAATGGAAATAATTAAAAAAAATTAAAAAATTAGAAAAGGGAAATTAGTAAAAATTAGTCATCCATCCCATCGTAAGACATACCTTAAACATCGCCATTATCCCGTGATTTTATTTCAAGGAAAGACTGATCTCCTCCGCGGGAGAGATTATCTAAAACGAGGAACTATTCAATATATGTAAATCCCTTTTCGGTTTCGTTTAAATTTGCCCTATCTCTCTCCCCTCTCCTCTCATCATTCTTGACGGGAGAAGGTGGAAGAGAAGAAAAGGAAAGGAAAAAAAGATCAAATCTTTCAAGGGGTTTTACTTCCCCACGAAGATTTCTTTCTTTTCATTTTCCCGGAAAATTTTCTCTTCCTCCCCTCGTCGATCAGGCCTAGTGAAAATCTTTGATCGTCTGCAATTCCAATTTTGATTTTTGGGTTTGAGAGAGATACAGAAATGGAGGACGATTATTACGTCAGTAGCGAGGACGAGGAGTATTACGACGACGAGGATGATCGCCAGAACATGGAGCTGTTGGATTACGTCGAGAATGACGACTCTCTCCCGCCTGAGGTTCCGAGGAGTAAGGTAGCGATGATTTTTAATTTCGTTGTTAGGTGATCGTAATTTTGTGAATTTCTTTTCCCGGGATTTTATTTGTTTCGCGAATTTCTGAGATTTTCGGAGGAAATTTCCTTTCTTTTTTCTCGAATTCTATCGCTAACCACAAAAGGGGTGTGCTTCCTGTTTGGTTGCTGAGAATGTGGTTTATTGCAGCTGTGTTTTTGTCTTTGTTAGTGAAATTTGGGTTTCTTTCGGGGTTTCGGTTTCGCAATTTGATGCAGAGAGTGAGAAACAGAATCATATTCTCTCAATTTTTGTGTGTTTAAAATCAAATTAATTTCTTGTTGCCTGCAATTTAGCTTATCTGCATCATGATTTTTTCGATACTTTGAAACTGTGAAAGTTCTCGTCCTGAATTCAATTACTGATGCCATCTTAATTTGTATTTACAGGTCATTCCGAAAGAATCTCTCTTGGCTGCACAGGTATGGAGTTCTGTAAATTATTTTTGGATAATTTTGTATGATGTTACGGTGGTTATGTATTTGTTAATAGAATTATATCAAATGTGGCATTAAAATGTGCAGAAGGACGACGTGCAGAGGGTAATGGATGTGCTATCATCGAAAGAAAACCATGCCCGAACCTTACTCATCCATTATCGGTGGGATGTTGACAATCTGCTTGCGGTGCTTGTAGATAAGGGGAAAGATAGATTGTATGCTGAAGCAGGTGTGACGTTGGTGGAGCACAATAGCAATGTCTCACAACAGTTGCCCTCTGAGGTTATGTGCGGTATTTGCATGGACGAAATTCCAGCTGGTCAGGTGACACTCATGGATTGCGGTCACTGCTTCTGCAACGAATGTAAGTACTCTCCTTTGCATCTTCTATACTTTTTCACGCAATGTACGCATTTTGTGATTATAGTTTCCTTTTAATGGAATCCGTTTTGTCTACAATTGTGCTTAGGTTGGACAGAGCATTTTATTGTGAAAATAAATGACGGGCAGAGTAGACGCATTAAATGCATGGCACATAAATGCAATGCTATTTGTGACGAATCCATTATCAGAAATCTAGTCAGTGTAAGAGATCCTAATCTAGCAGAGAAATTTGAGCGTTTTCTTCTCGAATCATATATAGATGATAATAGAATGGTGAAATGGTGCCCAAGTGTTCCCCACTGCGGAAATGCCATACGCATCGAGGAAGATGAACTTTGCGAGGTTGAATGTGCATGTGCGCTTCAATTCTGTTTTAATTGCTTATCTGAAGCACACTCCCCATGTTCGTGTCAAATTTGGAAACTATGGTGTCAGAAGTGCCAAGATGAATCAGAGACGGTTAATTATATTGCAGTCAATACGAAGCCTTGCCCAAAGTGTCACAAGCTGGTTGAAAAGAACGGAGGATGCAATCTAGTTACTTGTGTCTGCGGACAACATTTTTGGTGAGTGTTTGTATATATTTTCTGCATTTTGTTTAGTCTTGTGCCCTAACGTTTATGGAACTGTGGGGCTGGTTTGGGGAATATTTCGTACATTTAGATGGTCGGGCAGTGTTCAAAACTCCACCGGGGTAGGATCCTTTTCTTAGGATTTGCTGTGCTAAAGGTGAAGTTTATGTTGATGTGTGACTTTTCGTAGACTGGCTGCTTATAGAGTAGGGTTTGGACATAAAATTATTGGTTTAAAGCATTCAGTAATGTACATGTCATCTTCTATGACATTGCGATAAGCAGTATTGTAATACAGAGTGTGGCTCAAAATCTTCATTGAATCAAAATGGAGCTTCCATAATTCTGTCACTCTTCTTTTTGATGAATCGTTGCTGCCATTTCTTTTGAATGGAGTGCATTTGATAATATTATAATATTGCCTTAAAGTTTGTTTCTATACGTGTTTTGACAGTTGGCTCTGTGGTGGCGCAACTGGTTACGAGCATAATGCGGAGTCCATCGCGGGTCACAGCTGTGGGCGATTCAAAGAAGACGAGGAGATGACTCTTGAGCAAGCCAAGAGCGATCTTGTTCGTTACACTCACTACTACAACCGTTATCAAGCTCATATCGATTCTCTTAAGCTTGAATCAAAGCTGAAACAAAGCATACAAGGAAAAATATCGCATTTGGTAGAAAGAGAATTTACACGTACAGATTTTAGCTGGGCAACCAATGTACTCAACAGACTCTTCAGATCAAGGCAGATTATTTCATATTCCTATCCGTTTGCATATTACATGTTTAGCGAAGATCTATGCAAAAATGAAATGACGGCAGAAGAAAGGACCATAAAACAAAACTTATTTGAGGACCAGCAGCAGCAGCTTGAGTCAAATATGGAGAAGCTTTCTAAGTTTATAGAGGAGCCCTTCGACGAGTATTCGCCGGATGAAATTAGGGAGTTGAAAATCAGGATCTTAAATCTTTCTACGCTTGTTGATAAGCTCTGCGCAAAATTGTAAGTTTCTTTCAAGACTTGAGTTCTCCCATTTGGTCTTCAAAAATCATGCTGGAGATGGTGTTGCATTCAAAAATCATGTGGAATTGACGCGTATGGATTATTTACAGGTACGATTGCATTGAGAATGATTTGTTGGGTTCCCTCAAGTGGACAAGGCACAGTGTTGCTTCTTACAAGTCGAACGGTGTGGAGAAAGCTTCAGAACTTAACGGTTCCTAGGACACCACGACCTCTAACTTCGAAATTGATTTGGCAACCAAGGGTAAGCATTTTTCCAACGGTCGCATTTAACCTCATAAGTTTAGATTTAAAACATTACTATTTAGAAACTTTTTTTTTATTTTTTTTATCAGATTTAAAACATAACTGGTCGCGTTCAAATTTACTTATTTATATTTTCTTGTGTTTTAAGTGTTGAGACCTGTCTAAATGCATGATTTGAAGTCCTGCAACGTGTCGTGTAAAACATCAAATTTGATTATAATTTACTCCAAGTTTCTGGTGGGTGCTCATCTCCCTCCTAGTAGTTTGCCAGGTGTCTTATATTAACCATGGTTAATTTTTGTTTAAATGCTCTTTAATTTTTGTACGGCAACTTTCATGAAAAAACGACTCAGTTGGATGAACTGCATTATTGATATTGTCCCTGAATATTTTATGTACCGTGAACAATATACTTGAATTATTTGTGACGACCTCTCCAAACAAGCACAGACGTATCGACATGACTATTCTATTACGAAGATCACCTGGCGACGAAGCTTATTGATTTAAGAACGAGAGAAAGAATTAGTGCCCATAATGATATTTTTCGTAGAAATAGTATTCTTACTTATTTTGATGATCCTCGTTAAAGATGGACCCTCCATTAAATCTTGAAATTGGCTCTTTATCTATTGGTACCTCATCATTCATACATAATGAATTGGTGTGGTATATTTCTACTATTCCAGCCTATTATGGTATTATTGATAGGGATTTCAACGATGTTGAAGTTAGAACAAGTTGAGGGAATAGGCATTGTTGTATGTGCCACATTTGCACTATATTGAAACAAAAAAAACTTCCCAATTAATTTAGATTTAGATGTTTAGAGGCAAAAGATATAAATTAATACACTTTCAAAAGCTCCAATACGAGGAAGTTCGACTGAAATGCAAATAGGAATAAGAAATATGATCAATATTACGAAGAATAAAGAGATACTGTCTTTACCCAAATAAAAATTGATGTTTTCATAAGGAAGATATCGAAGGCTTTCCACATATTGAGATTTGACTGTAGAAGGATCAAATTGTATCCGAGGAACAGAGGCAGGTGCCCATGGGTCATAACGAACTACGTGCACAACAAATCCACTTTGAAGTTGACTTATTCGCTCGGCTAAATGATAGACCAAACATTACAAAGCTAATAACTCTTTAATCAATATTGAAAGAGCAAAAAATTACAACGTACTAAACAAAATTAAACATAGAAGATTAACTACTCAAAGCACCCTAGAAGGCTAGAACCCTCCCAAAACCCCATTTATCCCCAAAACTTAGATTAAGCACTTGAAAGGGAACTTTATAACTCATTTTGAAAACCAATTCAAATTAAAACGGTGTATTATAAATTTATCGTTTTACGTGTTGATCAATTTAAACACAAACACGACATGAATGTGAATAGTACATTAGGGCTTTGGTTTAGCTTATTGTTTTCACAGTTTTGTAAGTTTCATACTTGCAGCCCAGTGAGCTCAGTAAAATCACTTTTTTCAGACAACAAAATTGATCGGATCCGGGTTGTTGAGCAGCCCGGTTTACAATGATTTTTGTCCTTTTTCATGTTCTAGTTTTTTCTTCCTTCCCACAAAAGAAAAGAGAAATTTTCTTCACCCTTATCCACCATGTCCAACAACACATAAGATTTTACCTCTCTTGATAAACTTTCCAAACCACACTTATCTGAGTAGGTATGTGTGTGGGAGGCAGATTCTCTGCCCTCCCACTTCCGTATCTTCACGTACCCTCCTGTTTTGTATAGTCACAATTAAGCTACGTCAAACCTATCAATATATTCATTACATATAAACATAATTATCAAACCTATCAAAGTTTTGATCCTCAAAAAATCATCAATATAATAATAATAACGTGTAGCAATGACAAGGGAAAAAAACGTGTAGGAAGGAGTCATAGTCCAAAACATGAACAGCCTCACCACAAAAGGAAATTATTACTATATATTTTGGGAAAAAAATCAATAAATATTTTTAAAAATAAGAAAAGTTGCGTTGGTTTCAAGTCGTAAATAACCGGCTTAAGCGAAACCGTGTTGACAGCGAATCACTTACCCCTTCTACCTTAATATCCACCGTCCATTGTTTCCATCACGGTTTAATCTCAGCCGTTCGTATTCACTCACTATACCTATAAATACCCCCTTAGGCATCCTCCCAACTCGCTTGTTCGGATGGCGCCCTTGATCGGTGTGGCGTCAGCGATCAGGTTTCATCGCTCTGTGCTGGTGTTGAATCTGCGTTTTTAGATTTCGATTTCGGCTCGATTCCTCCGTTTGGGTTTGTTGATTTTTATGGATTGCGTTTCGTTATGGTTGTGATTTTAGGGTTGGCTGGATTCCTGGCGATGACGATTTCTCTTTCCAGGTTAAAATTTTTCGATCCCAGTCATCTGACGATGATTGAAGGTTGAATTCCCTTTAAATATTTAAGTTCTCCGCCTTTCGACTTACTTTTTGGGATTGATTAATTCTGCGTTGTAGTGTTATTGGTGTGTTTTTAGCGTTTGGCTGGAATGTTGGCGATGGCCTTTTTTCTACCAAGTTAATACGTTTAAAGGTTGTGAATTGTTGGGATTTTTATACCGATCGCGGTCTCCCGGACAAGAATTTGTGATGTTGGTATGATTTCCAATTAGTTGGATTGAGGTCTCGTTTTATCTTCTTGATCTGCTTTTGCGGTTTTTTGATTTCCTGTCCCAGGGTGGTCTGGATCCAGTAACTGGTTTAGCTTTTGTTTCGATTCGGAGGGAAAGATCATCAATTTTACCTATGCGTTTGCACCACATCGGTTACCTCTTCCGTTTTCTTTCTTTCTAAAGTTTATATAACATAATAATTTAGAAATTCGATCCCCATCCTTTCGAATAAGTGGAACGTTGTTGTTAAATTTCAGGCCCTGTTTACCAGATAACGTGTCCCTAGGGTTTTGATTCGGAGTGGAAGATCATTAATTTTACCTTATACGTTGGGGGTTACCTCTTCCATTTTTTCTTTCTTCCAAAAGTTCATAATAACTTAGAAATTTTGATCCCATCCTTTTGAATAAGTGGAACGACGTTGTTAATTTTCAGGCCCTGTTTACCAGATTGAATCAGCATCGATGGTTTAGGCAGGAGGGTTAGGTAGGTATCTTACTCGACTAATATTTTGATGGTTTTGAGGTCGGATCATATGCTATTTAAATCTTAAAAAAAAAAATAAATCTTAAACTCGTGAATTTTTGTTTAAAATCATGTTATGTTTTTCCTCTTGTTTAACCCTTTTTGTTTAAAATCATGTTATGTTTTTCCTCTTGTTTAACCCTTCTAGTGACTGACAGTAAATTCAGTAAATTTGGAACGTGTATGGTTCTTTCAGATTCTGATTTTTGTCCTCAAGGTCTGTTTTTAGTTCTTCAATCAAATTTGGTTTATAGAAGTATATTTGTACAGCTGACCCCACTTAGTGGGAAAAGGCTTTGTTGTTGTAGACGTATCTTTGTGCTCGTTCCAGTCTGTAACGACTTTGTTGGTTTCTGTATGTATTCAGGTGATTATTGCGTCTTTTAGGAGCAAGATTGTTACTTAAGATGGGTTTGATGCTTCTTTTTTCACATTTATTTATTTATTGGCTTATGAACAATGTTTTACGGATCAAATTTAAATTGACTGGTAGTTTAAGGAAAATGGATTGCTCCAATTTATGTCTTAATATATATATATATACACACACACATACGTATATATCTTGATTTATTATTTTTGGGTTTGAGCAGTGTTCTTGGCAGAATAGCTCATGTATGTTCAAGCAGTCTCTCTTTGTTTTCTGAGAATAAGCTGTTTTGAGGGGGGTTTTTATGCTTGTTGTCTTCTGACTTATTTTTCTGTTTCTTTACTTTGGTGATATATTTGAGTAAGTTTATTCATGCGGACAGCTTCCCACTTCTGTGTATGCTGATGTCTTAAGTGTCTGTTGAGGAGTCGCATTTTAGAGAAGTGCATGCTGATATCTAAGAGGGGGTTCTCTTGTCTTATAATCCTGTTAATTTGTTTTTTAGTATAGATTTTTCTACGTTGTCTAAGAATAAAATGCTTCTGTATGCAGACACATTCTTACCTTGTTGAAGGAAACAGCTTTGTACAGTGGGTTTGGGTGGTTCTTGACTTGTTTAATTTTTTATTCTTGAGATTTATGCCATCTGGAATCATTATTTGATCAAAGATCACTGTTTTTATCAGATGCATCCCAAAATTTTCTTGTTATGGAGTTTCACTCAGTCAAAGGAAAAAGGGCTGCATGATTGTATAAGAGGGTTTGGTGTTTCTTGGCTCATGGGTTATTATCTTCTTTTTCAAAAGCTTTTACCATCTAGCACCATGTTTGAGCAATGATTTTTCTGCAGATGGTATGTTTTTTGTTCATGGAATCTCACGTTTTGAAGGAGAATGCGCTGATTTTAGTTGGGGGTTCAAGTTCTTTCTTCTTGCTTCTGATTTAGTTTTTTTTTCTTGGGCTTTTGTTTGGTTCTACATTTGAGCAATTTGTGGCTACCCAATTGTTTGTTTGCAGATATGTTGAAGCGCCTTGTTTTTGGAGTCCTCCCTCGTTAAAGGAGAACAGTGAATATTGACAGGGGTTCTGTTGTTGTATGTTTTTGTTTTCTTATCCTAGAGTATGGTTTGGTGCTATTATTTGAGCAATGTCTTTGTATGCAGACACTTTCCAACTCGTCTGTAAATGAGGTCCAACTTTGTTAAAGTAGAACAAGCTGCTTCCAAGAGGGGGTTTGATTAGTTATTGGATTATGATTTAAATTCTTATTTCTTGGGTTTAATTTCTTATTTCTTGAGATTTATGCCATCTGGAATCATTATTTGATCAAAGATCACTGTTTTTATAAGATGCATCCCAAAATTTTCTTGTTATGGAGTTTCACTCAGTCAAAGGAAAAAGGGCTGCATGATTGTATAAGAGGGTTTGGTGTTTCTTGGCTCATGGGTTATTATCTTCTTTTTCAAAAGCTTTTACCATCTAGCACCATGTTTGAGCAATGATTTTTCTGCAGATGGTATGTTTTTTGTTCATGGAATCTCACGTTTTGAAGGAGAATGCGCTGATTTTAGTTGGGGGTTCAAGTTCTTTCTTCTTGCTTCTGATTTAGTTTTTTTTTCTTGGGCTTTTGTTTGGTTCTACATTTGAGCAATTTGTGGCTACCCAATTGTTTGTTTGCAGATATGTTGAAGCGCCTTGTTTTTGGAG